TGAAAGAATGGTGGAGAGCAAAGGCAGAAGAGGAAATGGAGGAAGATGATGATGATGATGAGTTTGGTGAAAACACTGATGTTGGATGGGAAGAGAAGGATAAATGGAGAGACATACTCCGGAATGCCCTAGAGGAGGAAGAGTCTATGGCCCGACAGTCTCTTTACGCTATGGAATTAGCAGCAAGAAGTGAGGACTGTGAATGGGAATGGTGTGTGCAGTCACACCTCAAAGGATGTGCATACACTGACAGTGACCCACATCTACACAAACAACAACAACAACAACAACAACACCCAGAACCGTTGCTACTGAGTATAAAAGAGCAGCGGTGTCGAGATGCAATGTTGCGTGAGATTGAGCGACTCACACGCCTAAAAGCAGCTGTGCGGCACGAGATGCACGAAATGCGTCTNCGTGATGGTGTTTCTCAGTGGCGAATGAAGGTGCGAGTGCAAAGAAGAAGAAAAGAAGGAGGAGGAGTGTCTACCCCTTCTTCCTTGCCGATGAGAGAAGTGGCTGCAGAGTCCCCATCACAACAAACACAATCGAACCAACAACAACAAGAAGAAGAAGAAGAGTATGAGATTGATTTACACCGGATTCATAGAGATACACTGAGGGTTTCCCAAAAGCTCACTGCACTGCGTCAAGAACGAGATGAGCTTGAAACCATGAAAGAATGGTGGAGAGCAAAGGCAGAAGAGGAAATGGAGGAAGATGATGATGATGATGAGTTTGGTGAAAACACTGATGTTGGATGGGAAGAGAAGGATAAATGGAGAGACATACTCCGGAATGCCCTAGAGGAGGAAGAGTCTATGTCCCGACAGTCTCTTTACGCTATGGAATTAGCAGCAAGAAGGGAGGACTGTGAATGGGAATGGTGTGTGCAGTCACACTTCAAAGGATGTGCATACACTGGCAGTGACCCACATCTACACAAACAACAACAACAACAACAACAACACTTCCTCCTGAACTCACAAACAACAAGAAGGGTGATGCAGACAGCAGCAGCAGTATCAGCAGTTCTGTGTGGGTGCGTGTACCACTACTGATTGTGGTTATACTGTCCTGTATTCTTGTGTGTTGATTGTGTGGTGGTGGTGTGACTCAGGTCATCCTTTGTTTTCTTTTTTTGCGTGCATCCCTAAAGTCTAACTAATCTTTCACCTGTTGGGAGTTCTCTTCTTTTTTTTTGTTTCTTAATGTTATTGTGTTTTGTGTGTTTTTACTCTCTCTGTGTTAATCCTATAATTATTATTATTGCTACTCTATTGTGTGTGTGTGTGTTCTTGGAGACTCTCTCTGTGTATGTGCACCTGGGCTTGCACTGTGATAATGATGATGAACTGTTTTTTGCAATGAGAGGGAAAAGGAAATAATAATAACAGATGAATTTATATTTATAATTGCGTATATACACATATATAGACTTACATCCATAGTTGGTGTATTTCTTTGTGTTTACTGGGTATGTTGGGCTAATGGTTAATATCTGTTTGTTTGCTTGTGGTT